GCGTGTGTGAGGTGAGGGGCTGCACCATTGTGTGAGGGGGGTGCACCAGTGTGTGTGAGGGGGTGCACCAGTGTGTGTGAGGGCGTGCACCAGTGTGTGTGAGGGGCTACACCAGTGTGTGTGAGGGTCTGCACCAGTGTGTGTGAGGGGTGCACCATTGTGTGTGGGGGGCTGCACTAGTGTGTGTGAAGGGTGCACCAGTGTGTGAGGGGGGTGCACCAGTGTGTGAGGGTGCACCAGTGTGTGTGTGAGGGGGTGCATCAGTGTGTGTGAGTGGGCTGCACCAGTGTGTGAGGGGGGTGCACCAGTGTGTGTGAGGGGGGTGCACCAGTGTGTGTGAGGGGGTGCACCAGTGTGTGTGAGGGGGTGCACCAGTGTGTGTGAGGGGGTGCACCAGTGTGTGTGAGGGGGTGCACCAGTGTGTGTGAGGGGCTGCACCAGTGTGTGTGAGGGGCTGCGCCAGTGTGTGTGAGGGGGTGCACCAGTGTGTGTGAGGGGGTGCACCAGTGTATGTGAGGGCGTGCACCAGTGTGTGCGAGGGGCTGCACCAGTGTGTGTGAGGGACTGCACCAGTGTGTGTGAGGGGGTGCACCAGTGTGAGGGGGTGCACCAGTGTGTGAGGGGGTGCACCAGTGTGTGTGAGGGGGTGCACCAGTGTGTGAGGGGGTGCACCAGTGTGTGTGAGGGGGCTGCACTAGTATGCGTGAAGGGGTGCACCAGTGTGTGTGAGGGGGGTGCACCAGTGTGTGAGGGGGTGCACCAGTGTGTGTGAGGGGTGCACCAGTGTGTGTGTGTGGGGGTGCATCAGTGTGTGTGAGTGGGCTGCACCAGTGTGTGTGAGGAGGGTGCACCAGTGTGTGTGAGGGGGGTGCACCAGTGTGTGTGAGGGGGGTGCACAAGTGTGTGTGACAGGGTGCACCAGTGTATGTGAGGGGGTGCACCAGTGTGAGGGGCTGCACCAGTGTGTGTGAGGGGGTGCACCAGTGTGTGTGAGGGGGTGCACCAGTGTGTGTGAAGGGCAGCACCAGTGTGTGAGGGGGTGCACCAGTGTGTGTGTGTGAGGGGGTGCACCAGTGTGTGTGAGGGTGCACCAGTGTGTGTGTGAGGGGGTGCACCAGTGTGTGTGTGAGGGGGTGCACTAGTGTGTGTGAGGGGGTGCACCAGTGTGTGTGAGGGGGTGCACCAGTGTGTGTGAGGTTCTGCACCAGTGTGTGTGAGGGGTGCACCAGCGTGTGTGAGGTGAGGGGCTGCACCAGTGTGTGTGAGGGGGTGCACCAGTGTGTGTGAGGGGGTGCACAAGTGTGTGTGAGGGGTGCACAAGTGTGTGTGAGGTTTTGCACAAGTTTGTGTGAGGGGGTGCACCAGTGTGTGTGAGGGGGTGCACAAGTGTGTGAGGGGGTGCACCAGTGTGTGTGAGGGGGCTGCACCAGTGTGTGTGAGGGGCTGCACCAGTGTGTGTGAGGGGGGTGCACCAGCGTGTGTGAGGTGAGGGGGTGCACCAGTGTGTGAGGGGGTGCACCAGCGTGTGTGAGGTGAGGGGCTGCACCAGTGTGTGTGAGGGGGTGCACCAGTGTCTGAGGGGGTGCAACAGTGTGTGTGAGGGGGTGCACCAGTGTGTGTGAGGTTCTGCACCAGTGTGTGTGAGGGGGTGCACCAGCGTGTGTGAGGTGAGGGGCTGCACCAGTGTGTGTGAGGGGGTGCACCAGTGTGTGTGAGGGGGTGCACCAGTGTGTGTGAGGGGGTGCACCAGTGTGTGTGAGGGGGTGCACCAGTGTGTGAGGGGGTGCACAAGTGTGTGTGAGGTTGTGCACAAGTGTGTGTGAGGGGGTGCACCAGTGTGTGTGTGAGGGGGTGCACCATGTGTGTGAGGGGGCTGCAACCAGTGTGTGTGAGGGGTGCACCAGTGTGTGTGAGGGGCTGCACCAGTGTGTGTGAGGGGGTGCACCAGCGTGTGTGAGGTGAGGGGGCTGCACCAGTGTGTGAGGGGGTGCACTAGTGTGTGTGAGGGGGTGCACCAGTGTGTGTGTGAGGGGGTGCATCAGTGTGTGTGAGTGGGCTGCACCAGTGTGTGTGAGGAGGGTGCACCAGTGTGTGTGAGGGGGGTGCACCAGTGTGTGTGAGGGGGGTGCACAAGTGTGTGTGACAGGGTGCACCAGTGTGTGTGAGGGGGTGCACCAGTGTGTGTGTGAGGGGGTGCACCAGTGTGTGTGTGAGGGGGTGCACAAGTGTGTGTGTGAGGGGGTGCACCAGTGTGTGAGGGGGTGCACCAGTGTGTGTGAGGGGGTGCACCAGCGTGTGTGTGGTGAGGGGCTGCACCATTGTGTGTGAGGGGGTGCACCAGTGTGTGTGAGGGGGTGCACCAGTGTGTGTGAGGGGCTGCACCAGTGTGTGTGAGGGGGTGCACCAGCGTGTGTGAGGTGAGGGGCTGCACCAGTGTGTGAGGGGGTGCACTAGTGTGTGAGGGGGTGCACCAGTGTTGTGTGAGGGGGTGCATCAGTGTGTGTGAGTGGGCTGCACCAGTGTGTGTGAGGAGGGTGCACCAGTGTGTGAGAGGGGGGTGCACCAGTGTGAGGGGGGTGCACAAGTGTGTGTGACAGGGTGCACCAGTGTGTGTGAGGGGCTGCACCATGTGTGTGTGAGGGGGGTGCACCAGTGTGTGTGTGAGGGGGTGCACAAGTGTGTGTGTGAGGGGGTTCACCAGTGTGTGTGAGGGGTGCACCAGTGGTGTGAGGGGGTGCACCAGTGTGTGTGAGGGGGTGCACCAGCGTGTGTGTGGTGAGGGGCGCACCATTGTGTGTGAGGGGGTGCACCAGTGTGTGTGAGGGGGTGCACCAGTGTGTGTGAGGGGGGTGCAACAGTGTGTGTGGTGAAGGGTGCACCAGTGTGTGTGTGAGGGGTGCACAAGTGTGTGTGAGGTTGTGCACAAGTGTGTGTGAGGGGGTGCACCAGTGTGTGAGGTGGTGCACCAGTGTGTGAGGGGGTGCACCAGTGTGTGAGGGGGCTGCACCAGTGTGTGTGAGGGGGTGCACCAGTGTGTGTGAGGGGCTGCACCAGTGTGTGTGAGGGGGTGCACCAGCGTGTGTGAGGTGAGGGGCTGCACCAGTGTGTGAGGGGGTGCACCAGTGTGTGTGAGGGGGTGCACCAGCGTGTGTGAGGTGAGGGGCTGCACCAGTGTGTGTGAGGGGGTGCACCAGTGTGTGAGGGGGTGCACCAGCGTGTGTGAGGGGGGTGGTGCACCCGTGTGGGCGGGCCAGGCATGGACAAACAGGATGGGCGTCCACCAGCTGATTTTTTTTGACAATTATGGTGACCACAATCACACACACGACACAAATACAATCACATTTCACAGTCACAATTACAACACACACACACACACACACACACACCAGTGTGTGTGTGTGTACGATAAAGCTCATGGTTCAGGGGGAGTGACCTAGTAGCGACCAGTGAAGAGGCGGGGCCAGGAGCTTGGACTCGACCCCTGCATCCTCAACTAGGTGAGTACAACTAGGTGAGTAACACACACACACACACACACATATATATATATATATATATATATATATATATATATATATATATATATATATATATATAATATATATATATATATATATATAATATATATATATATATATAATATATACAGAGACCATCAATCCACAGACCATCCGCATTGGTGTTGACGTTCGACTTGTCGCTGCTATTCTCGCCGAACACAGGTGTATTTGTGACAGTGAAGCAGCAGACCGATTCGGGTATCTCTTCTTGTGTGTCATAAATCCGAGGGAAAGATTGCAAGACATGAAGAGGTTAATAACTTTATCGACAGGAGCCTCACAAGAGCCGGATGCCCAGCAGTAAGGGAGTCACCCTAACTATGCAGATCTGATGGCAGCCAGAAGCGTCCATATTACAACCTAGGATTTCAAATGGCCTGTTATCCCAGGTGTAATGGGAGCAAATAAACACAGTAGAAAAAGTTTAGACTTATATTATCCTTCACCAATTATAACAGCAATATGTACACTATGTACAGTGATAAATATAGTGCACTCCACGGTAAGCAAGGCAGAAATAGAAGCCACAAGATAGCAGACCGTGCTTCAACCAGCTCTAGAATGGGAATGACAAGGGCAGACAGGAGAGCGGTATCCACATAACCTCTGCGATTGTCAATCCCACCTTCTTATTGGCTAGAACCTGGTCACTAGTTGAACGATGGGGCCCCATCATCAACTCTTAGCAACCTGGTTCGCTGGTTGGGGGAGATAGCCTGTAAATGAGGGTGTGTCCATGCGCCGAATAAAGGTTACGTACTCTTTGCATGCCACAGCCTGTAAATGAGGGTGTGTCCATGCGCCGAATAAAGGTTACGTACTCTT